CCAAGCAGAGAATACATGTCTGCTAGTTCAGTATTTGACATGTCTGCAGTAATGTACGTTGAAAGGAGTAACTGAACTAATGGGTCTGCCTGCAGTCAATAGTCCTTCACAAGTTAGATTTTGTACTGCCATTTAACCTCAGTATTGTTGCATCACATTCCGATGGCTAACATACATTGCTTGTATTCTGTTGTTAAACTTGAAATTAGAACGTGCCTCTTGTAATTTCTGATCCCAAAGCGTTTCAGTTCATCTGCACCCCTATTCCTACCATTATCTTTCTGGGACATGCAGAAAATAAGGTGGTCTTTTCGCCATGTATGATATTTCAGTTCAGATGTTCATGCATGTGATGTAGTATCATCTAATTCCAAAACAAAGCTTTTCTTGTTTCTTTCCTTCATAAATGTTTTATAGAGACATTTGTTTTTACACTTTTGTGTTCCATTGCTCTTCTTGTTCTTGCTGTCTAGCAATATGATGCCCAGACTTGCGTGCTTTGGGTTTTAGTTTGCATGCTTGTTGGTCCAACTTTGTTTGTTGAGTTTAATCAGTGGCGTAGTGTTCATCATTTGCTAAATTTTGTGCAAATTGGCTCGTTGAGGTAGATTCACGCGCTATGTAAATTTGTGATTTTTTCTCCTATTAGCTGCCGGGTAAAGACTTAGATAAATTTATACGTACTAGTACTACTCAGTAATCCACATGTACCGGGTACCTGACGACCTGGGGCGCACTGAAAATGAGGCTTCTAAATATGAAATTGATGAATTTACTGAAAATGAGGCTTCTAAATATGAAATGGATGATTTACATCACGGTAGGAGGTACGGAGTTAAACATGAACAAGACAATCATACTTGCATGACCAACCTCCAGTCTTCTCACTCTCACTGTTGTTTAAACACGTATGAGCATACATATGAGGTGACATGGAACAAAATGATATAGCTGCACAACTTTGACGACCTTTTACTACAAGTAAATTGCAGTTTGTTTTCTGTTGCAGCCTGATTGACGTTGGATGATCAGATAATAACAATACAATACAGTTCTTGAATAGAACCGATTTAGCCTTAAAAAAGTATATATTGATTCACTCATGGCTAGTATATCAGTTAGTTTCTGAGATATTGGAAAAAGACAAAGTAAAACATAGACAATAGCACAGTGCATTTGAGGCTCAACTTTCAATTCAAGATAAAGGTTGAGATGTGGGTGTCAATTCATTAATCATGTTAAGAAGGCAGATTTTATACATCATAGCACTTATCTTAACCTACATAATTTTATTTGACTACTCAATAGAAAGTTAGGATGTGGGTTTCAATTCATTCATTGAGGAGGCAAAGTTTATACGGGTTTAAACAGCACACTTTTATTTGACAACTCGACGATTTTACTATCAAAATGCATAGCAACAAATGGAATGAAGAAGTAGACTCTGTTTATTTCAGTTTATGCTCTATTTTGGCATTCATTATTTGGTGCCATCAAACACTCTTCTCGATTGCAATATAACACAATGCGGAGATTCATATTGATTCATCTAGTCTTTTTTCATATGATACGCAATAAATAAAAGTGGTACTTGTGTTTTTACCATGTTTTTAACTCCAGTTGTATTTTTACCAATACTTTTCCATCATGTCAGGCTTGTTCTTGCACCCATTTTTTTAACTAAATAATAAATGAATGTTTATATTTAAACAAGGGAAAATCATGTCAAAAAACATGATGTCATAACATGAGCAAAATAACAAAGTAATCAAAAAGGGCAAATCTGCAAGGGCATACTCCCTCCGTTCAAGAAAAACCCAACCTAGGAGAGGATGTTGTCCAGATTCGTAGTATTAGGAGGGGTCAGGTTGGTTTTCTGGGGACGGAGAGAGTATGTGCATTTCAACTCTGTTTAGGCTTTGTTTGTTGCCCCTGGTTCCCAACTCCCCCTCTCGTTTTCCACGCGCACGCTTTTCAAACTGTTAAACGATGTATTTTTTATAAAAAGTTTTTATACAAAAGTTGCTTAAAAAATCATATTGATCTATTTTTCAAAAAAAAATTTGCTAATACTTAATTAATTATGCGCTAATGGACCGATCTGTTTTCCGTATGCGGGATATGGGTTCCCAACCCAGGCTGCCGAACACAACCTTAGTCATCTTAACAGAATGGTTGCAACCATCAGCCTCAGTTCAAAAAATGAGGGTAAAATCACAAAGTTGAAAAAAGTAGGGACAAAATCACAATTGGAGTTGAACAGGGATAATAATACAATTGTCTCTAAATAAAATTTCATTATTAACTGTAAATAATGGGCAAGTCATCCTTTCAACTAGGTCATACCCGCGCGTTGCGGTGGGGATTCTAAGTGATAAACTAAAGATTGCTTATTATGATGATTTGTATGAATGAAAAGTGACCAATTCTAATAAAATGGTGTTAATAAAGGTTGGCATTTCAAGTTTAATGATAATACAAAGGTATCATAATACAATATAAGAAAAATCAACTGTCAGCATGTTAGGCCAGATGGGTTAGTGATAAAAAATTAATATAGACAATAGTAATTTAATGGCCAAAAATATAGAGGAAAAATTGCAAACCTTGTCATTGGCATGTTTTTTTTTCTCCAACTCAAGTTGTTGTTTTCCATATACATCATATCGACCTGTAAATTTGCGTTCTAAATGTTATGTTCAACAAAAAAATATGTTAAACTCTTGCAACAAATTATAAGTGATATGAAGATAGAAGGTCAACTTTGAGACATATGAATGGACTGGTAAGGTCAATTTTGTCAGGCCAATTTTGAGAACATCCGAACGATAGAAGTTTCTTCAACAAAAGTTATAAAGAAGCTAATAATTAAATAGATAATACATGTGCACTGCTGCGAGTGGCGATCAATTGCCCTTTTCGTGCATGATCAAATAAGTTGATGCGTCTCAGTGTTTGCATCATTGGAATGAAAAGAAATGATATTGCGGTGAAAAGGGAGAAAATGGAGTGCATCAGCTTTCAAATGATCTGAAATCACCATTTTATCAGGGAGAGGACAAATGAACTCATAATTGCTAAAAATTGTTGAAATTTTGAAGGTAGAAAAAATATCATAAACTTCTTTGCCATTATGGTGAAGAGATAATTCCTTGCAAATCCACTAGCAGTGGCAGTTAGAAGGTTGCTTCGAGTAGTTCTGTCTACGTATAGACACGTACTGTAGTAAATTGCTAAATATTTGTGATGGCATGTTGTATTGCTATCTTGAAAAAAAAAAAAGAAGCTTAATCTGAGCCAACTACGAAATAAAAAATAAGGGATGAAATTATCTTGAAAAGAACTGATGAAGGATGACAAATTGGTTACCTATCACGAGAGTCTGCCATCCAGCAACGACGCCAATTCACTGGAACGATTGTTCCAATTATCGATGATGAGTATACGAGGCAAAGCAATTCCAGCTATTGAACAGAGTTGAATCCATCAGAGTGAGAGAGCATGTAAAATTTTAGCAGAATCTAAGACTAAGACTTGTTCGGAATGAAAGGCTTAAAAAACATGAATAAGAAACGTTTAAACATAGCATTTGAAAATACTATAGGAATAGATATTTGGATGAACCACGAGAATAACATATGAAACAATATAGAACTATAAGCCTAATGATGCTTAAGCCTTGCATTTGTGGTATTAGAGCTTGATTTGCCTCGATCCTACGCGAGGGGAACTAAAACAAAAGGGTAAGGTTAGATTTTTTTTTAGTAAAGTATACGGGCGGTTTATAAGGTTGTATCATCTAGGTCCCCAAAATCTCAAAATATATATCCAGATCATAGAACTTGTCAAAGTGTGTCATCTAGGTCCCAAATCACCACAGCCTCTCTACTATCGTACATGATGTTGTTGTGGCATTGTCACACAAACATGACGTGATATAATCTTAACTGACAAATTAGACATAAAAAAATTTTTCCTTTTCCTTTTTTTTCTTCTTTCCCTTTCCTTTTATTTTTCCTTTTCTTCTCATTCTCTTTTTTTTCCCTTTCTTCTCCTTCCTCTTATTGCAATAGTAGGCCACCACCGCACAGGTGCTGGGTCATAGAGAAATGAGAAGAAACAACAAGAAAGAGAAGAAAAGAAAAAAAAAAGGAAAATTTTTAAGTGGGTCCTATTTTTCAGTCAAGATTTTGCCATGTCACATCCGTGTGGCATATGCCATGTCAGCGCCATGTAGGGTCCTGGAGGGACTACGGTGATTTGGAACCTAAATGACACACTTTGATAAATTCGGGAACTTCGATCTGCACTTTGAGAGTTTAGAAATCTATATGACACACCCCTATGGCAGTGTTTGGCAAATGTCTAAGGGAAATGATTTCCCACCCCTCTTTAAATCTTAACCATTCATTTTCTCTCATCCATTTAATCCTAACCCTTCATTCATTTCCCAATCCCAATCCCACTCTTCATTTCCCATTATCCAAACACACCCTATAAGTTTAAGGATCTTTGCAGTTTATCTACGAAATCAATATCTCCTCAATTTTTACTACACAAGAATTCTCTGTTATGAATGTCCTCCTTTTCTTAAGAATCTTTTGATCCGAATAAGCACTAAATAATTTGATAATACAAATAAATTTATATGATACCAAAATTAATGATTTAGTACTATTGAAAGCCATACCAAAATTAATGATTTAGTACTATTGAGAGCCAGATAGAACCCAAATATTGAAGGTATGAATAAGTTGGCATAAAACCGAACATCTAAATGGTGTTTCTATTGAAATTGAAAAAGAAAATATTAGGGTAAAATTTTTGTCGAGCCCAAACTAAGGGTCTGTTCAGATTATAGCTAAAATAAACCTTATCAAATTTTAGTAATATCATGTATTTATCAAGATTTAACAACAAATTAAATATAGATATTTTTTTGGTAACTTTATTAAAAAAAATGTATAGTTGAGAATTGCATAAATCTCAACGGCCCCTAACCCTAGAATTCCACGCCGTCGATTCGAGTATTCGTTCTTCAAGTTTTTTTTGCCTTCCCGGCGCCTCCACCCAAACCCCCATTCTATCCCTCCCCAAAACCACCAAGAAAATCCTTGTGATCTCGCCTCCAAGATCGATCCATGTCGCTGGAACCGGCCTCACCTTCCGCCGATTCCGGTGTCACCAGCCTCACCTCCACCGCCAACAATGTCGCCGTCGTCGTCCGCGGCGGCGACAGCGATGACAGCGATGACAGCGACAGCAGCGACGGCGTCGGCTACGACAGCGACGACCTGATGGACGACATGATGGACGACATCTTCGAGCAGTTCATCGAGAAGGACGAGCTGCTGGACCGGATCGGGGCCCGCCTCGTGGCGCCGCTGCTCCCCGCCGCCACCCGGGCGCAGCGGCGGCAGGTCCTGGAGCAGAGGGAGCAGGCGCGCGCGGCGCGGGAGGAGCTCAGGCGCGGCGTGGCGAGGAGCAGGGAGCTGACGAGGAAGATCAGGAGGCTCAAGAGGATGGCGAACGCCGACGTCTCCGGCTACCCCGCCGCGCGGCGGGAGGCGCACGAGAGGGAGACGCGGCGGCTCGCCCGGGAGATCTTCGGCTCGGATGCCTAGCCTGGTATACTCTCTCTGATCTGATCTGATGGATGGATTGGTTGCAATTTGCTTTGCTTTGATTTGGAAAACAGGGATATCTTCGGTTCGGAATTCGGATGCTAAGTCTGGTAGTAATACACTATCTGATATCCCATGGATGAATTGGTTGAAATTTGTTTGCTTTGATCGGGGAGACAATGCAATGCTGTGCTAGTAGATTAAAGGGTAAATTAGATTTTAAATGGTGCTAGTAGTACTAATTTGGTGCCGTTTTGAATGCTGGAAATTCTCTAGTACTAATTAGGCGTCGTTTTGAATGCCGGAGATTCTCTTGATTTGTGGTAAAAACTTCTTGTTACCTTCAAAATTGGGATGCCACTGTGCTGGACTATTATTAATGCGACTCTACAACCTAGTGTTGGTTGAGCTTTCATGATGTAGATGGGGATTTCTTTTTTAGTTCTTTGTGGGTAGAAAACTGGTTTATTTGGGTGAAATATAGACAGCAATTGACCATCAGAAAACCAACCAAGAGACACTCAATCTCTCAGGCTCTTACATGTGCTACGCCCTGGAAGGCTGGAACATCTTTTCAAAATTTAGTCTCTTATATTTTTTTCTTTCTTTTTGACATCTGACAATCCCAATTTTCTTCACTTCAAATTTACAAAAAGAATAAAAAAAGACAGGCTTATGTGAAAATCTTGTGTTCCAATTCCGAACAGGGTGTTATATATGCTGTGTTGGCAACCTGGTTTCTAGAACGAGGCATCAATTGTTGGCTCCAGTGAGCTTTCATATTTTGTGGGAAATGCATGACGTGCTAATTGCCTACAGAACAAAATGTAGGTGTTGTAGTTTACACTTGTGCTAATTGCCCAAGTGATTTTGTCTTTTGAACTAATTGCACAAGTGATTTGATTGTGTTGTGTCAATGAGAACTCTTTTCAGAGCCCTGTTTGTGAAAAAGGTTTTAAAATGTTGAACCATGCTGAAAAAAAGAACTGGATGAATCGAGGCCCCATGCATCCAATATTCCAATACATATATATATGTTAAAATAATACCAAATTTGAACGCTACCTTGAGATATAACAATGTTGTCTTTTGTTAGTGTAAGATAAATTATGCAAAATATTACATTCTACAGGATTTCTAAGACAGCCATTTATGTAGTGAAAACCACCAAGTAAGGAAAACCAAGGAGTATAACTTCCAATAGTTGTGTAAAAAAATGCCCTTATTTTTTTGTAGTAAATGGAGGTCAAATTAGGCACAAATAGTTTTTTCAAACTTTTGTTGCCCTCCATCTTTTTGTCTGCTAAGTACATTGATATTGGCAATATGACGTAGCAAAAATGATCTTGATTATTTTATCTTTATTCCAGGCAATCACATCTATTCTTACTGCCAACTCAATTCTTGACAACAGAACCAAGAGGGTATTGTTGGCACCAATTTTGCCCATGATTTAAACATGATTTTAATATGTTGTATATTAATATTTAGCTTGTAATATACTGTATAGAGATGACCGAATGGATGAATAAAATCATTAACTAAATAAATAGCCATAATAATATACGGATGGTGTGAAATAAATGTGCCCCTAAATATTCATCGGCACGGAATAAAATGTGTGTCACTTGCGTGCCTTATAAAATGTGTAGCAAAAACCACTGCTTTATCTTAACGTATGTAGTTGGCTCGATAAATACTGATATTTAGTTGCCACGATATATCCATGAATAAAATAAATAATATAATAAAAAGGGCGTATGTGAAATATATAAAATATATTTAGATACGATCATCCAATAAATTAAATCTTAGGCTTCGAAGGTATATCCATGAATAACGTTTATCTAGCTGACCAAAAATAATTGTGCTCTATTCACCAGTAAAAAATAGCAATTGCAAAATACGCCTCCAAACATCAAAGCCATTGCCTCTTTCTTTAATAGATGCAACCCGTTCTGATCAATGACTTGGAGGCACTTCTTTCATCAAGATGAAATCATCGGGACAGTCTATGATAGAGATTTGGCCTATGGTACCATACTTGCGTTCTCTAATTGCAAGGAACACGTCCATTTAGATTATCATGCCGAAGGTCCCTCATGATTGAGGGGAAAATCCGAATGAAAGTTGTACACCAATCAACTCAAGGAAGTGAGGCTTTTCCATAACGGGAATCGGTTGGGAGCTGATAAGGATTTGCTGGCCATCGCCTCCCGGTCGGGATGGCTCGCGTGGCAGATCGGGGTCGTACATCCGCTCGCCTGCTTGGCCGTAACGTGGTTGCCGCGTTGGCGTCACGCGTGCGCCATGTGGTACACCCGTTCCCGACTGCATGCGTCCATCCGCCCGCCCATGTGTGCCTCGCGTGCTCCAGTCGCCTTGTGTCACCGACGGGGTGGGCCCCGCTTGCCGACGCTGGCCTCCAATCCGCTGACGTCAGCCTCAGGCTTTAATGCGTAGTAAATCATTAAGGTTTTTTTTCTGTTTATATTAAAAACATAGTAAATCTTCTAATATTCATAACTTATTCATCCAAGTTCCGTTTAAGTCCATTCAAGTTGCAGTAAATTGATAAAAATGCCTAGAATCGAATTAAAATGGTCTTGTTTCCCTTTTCAGTAGTCTTATAGCATATTTTACTTGTGTGGTTTGTTTGTCCCGTAGATTCCAGCAATTCCGACGTTCCAGTCTACTACGAAGTTGTTGCAAAGGTTCTTGTAGCACCAGAGCAAGGCAAGTCATGCATTCCTCATTGAGCATATAGTTCCTACTTTGCAAATATCTTGCTTTCTATTTGAATTGCACTATTTTATAATGTCATGTGGGATGGTTCATATGTACTCGACCATAGCATGCTGAGCCGCAGTATATCCTTCCCCATGATTAAAAGTTGAAGGTCTCTAGCACCCCTTGGAGTAGTAATTTGGAGGCGAGGCTTGTATTGCTTGTGTTGTGTCAAACGGCCACACAAATTGCCAACCTTTGAGTGGATTAACGTCATAATGTATGTACCATAGTAAATGTCTTGCCCGAAGGTTCCTTTGGAGATTGCTATCTCTTACATCATGAGGTTGATCCCATCGAATCTTCGTCCTTGCATTATGGCATCAATCACATGCTAAGCCACTCCCCAAATGTCATTGTTTTTTCCAAAACGAGGGAGTATAGTGGCCGTTACAATCTGATTGACCACACTCGTGAGGGTTCTCAAACCTGCCACTTTGCCATAAGTGTGCCTCTCACCATCCTCATAAAACTGAGCTAGATAAGCACGGTAATTCTTCTAGGGTTTGCCGCGAACTGGTCCTTAAATGCCATGATGTCTAGCGAACCATGCGCCCACAGCCCACCATTAGGCATATTTTAGTTGAATTAGTACCATGGTGGTACATGTCCAATGGCATCTAATTAATCAAGATCTAAGATATTAGTGTGATTCCGCAAAGTGATAGTTGATCTAAGTATGGCTAAGCATCTCCTAAATCAACATCTAATCATATTAGTTCCCAAGTTATCAATGACACAAGGTAGTCAAGCTATGGCTAAGTACATAAAAGCCATCCCACATGACATTATAAAATAATGCAATTCAAATAGAAGTGGGGTATTTGCAAAGTAGGAACAATATGCTCAATAAGAAACGCATGACTTGCCTTGCTCTGGTGCTATGAGAACCTTTGCAACAACTTTATAGTCGACCGGAATGGCCGAAATCTACGCGACAAACAAAGCACACAAGCAAAACAAGCTATAAGACTACTGAAAAAGGAAACAAGACCATTTTAATTAGATTCTAGGCATTTTTATCAATTTACTGCAACTTGAATGAGCACGGAGCTCGAATGAATTAGTTATGAATATTAGAAGATTCACTTGGTTTTTAGTATAAACAGAAAAACCTTAATGAATTTTTGCGCATTAAAGCCTTAGGGCTAACACCAGTGAGGTGGAGGCTGGCGTCGGCTAGCGGGCCCCACCCGTTGGTGACACAAGGCGACTAGAGCATGCATAGCGCACATGTGTGGATGGATGGATGCATGCTGTCGGGAACGGGTTCATCACGTGTTGGCCACGCGGGCGGGCGGATGGACTGCCCCGTGGCATATTACTCTAAAAGTGAACTTATTTTGGGACAAATAAAATGAGATAAAAATAAACTTATTATGTGACGGATGAAGTAAGACCTTGTAAATCAATGGCTTAGATAATTTATGTTGCCATCTTTACTGGTACACTAATACTGCAAAAATATTTGTTTTGTGTAATGAAATTGTGAAGTATATTTTTCAAGGATACTAGAGATTCAGGTACCTAATTTATTGACGGTAGTAATCATCATGTTGTTGGAGGATCTTATGATTTTCTGAAGTTGGATAATTGGTTTTATCATTGATATAGTACGCTCATAACATCTCAATTATAGAATTGTATGAACTTATAAAAAAAATTCTTAGGAATCATACAAGTAAAGGAGAATCAGTAGTTTCGGTTTGCTACAAGAATTAAAATGGCGACAGCCAAAATTATCTGCCTGAATATTTTGGTCTGTCACCTGCACATCTTGGTACTCAATTTTCAATTTTAATTAGGCAAATTTTGCTGCAGGACATCGCGATTGTGTGTATTTAGCTCAGGGACACCGTGAAAGTGAAGCTTTGGGGAAAGACATCCCATAATCGTGGTTATTTGCTGATGGACACCGCGCCGTCTAGCGTAGACTTGCCGTGCTGACGTGGCTGACGGGAGGCTGTTTTTTGACGCGGTCGGACGTAAATACCCATGCGCCTTATCTCCTCTTATCCACTCGGTTTGGCTCCATTCGCAAGCAGTACGGGTGGTAGAACCCTAGCTCTACCGATTCAACCGATACAGTGCCTATTCCACCGATTCTGTCGCCCTCGATACTGGCTGTTCCCAGGCATTGTCGCCGACGTGATGCAAGTTTGACCGGCGGTGATGGCTTCACTGTCGCAGGAGGCGGTGGAATCTGCGCTGGCGGCAGCTCCGCCGATGCCGAAATGGATTCCGAAAGGGTAAGTTTGGATTCCTCTTCTCTTTGATTCGTTTTTCTTCTCTTTGATTCGATTAGGATGCATGGTTTGGTCGAGCTGATTTGGGATCCCCTTTTTCTCTTCATTTGCCATCGCATTGTAGGATGGATCCGAACTCTGCATGCAGAGTTGTGGTTAGGGTTGTTGCTTACGTTGAGTATATGGATAATGGTAGCCAAGATTATCATGTTTCATCTTCACATAAGTGGGTTGTAGATAAAGACACCGTATGCTGATAGATTTGATGAAGGACTTGGATGATGAAATCATTCGTGGTAGTGCGCAAGAGCTTACAGTGACTTTCTGGGACAAGAGAGTGGGTAGGGATGTAGAAATTTGTTATGATGTTGTGTTATTAGAGGCATTTAACCAATACTGGGATGTTAGGAAGCTTCCATTGCAAGTGACAGTGAGTGAGCCTTGTTCCCAAACTGTGTCTTGTGTGGATGAAGCTGAAACAGTTGTTCCACTGAGTATGGTTTTACCCACACAAGCAAGTCAGGCTGACAATGTTCCTACTAGAGATGCTCCCACAAAAAAGGTTCCCACCAAAAAAAAAGCAAGTCTAGGGACAAAGCTACTGATCAATCAATGCCAAATCCAAATCCATGGGGTGAGTTTGATGAGGTTGAGTATGTAGGAGTTAGTGATGAGAGGGAGAATTACAATGAGCTGGTGTTAGATGATGAGGCTAATGATCTAGATTACACTCCTGAGGAATCTGATGGTGATGAAGAGAATGATGATCCAGTAGATGATTTAGAAGTCAATGATAATAGGGGTTGTGAGCTTCTAATCCATATAACTGATGTAGACAATCCAAGGATAGAAGTTGGTGTTACTTTTGAGGATGGACTTTGTTTTAAGAAGTGTATGAGACAATATGCTGTCCTGAAAGAGGTTGAACTTGCAGTTCCCTACTCTGAGGCCACAAGATACAGAGCTTATTGCAAGGCAAAGAAGTGCAAATGGAGTATCCATGCTTCTAGGTTGTCAGATGGTAGAACTTGGCAGGTATGTAGCTCTTTTGTTTTACTTCTTTGTCACTTAAGTTTTGCAACTGAATAATGGTTTGGATGTTTACTGTCCCTTTTTGGTTGCAGATAAAGAAGATGCCATATGAGCATAGGTGTGCTAGCACAGGCAAATTGGAGAATAATTGCATGGCCAACAATTCTTGGGTTAAGGACAGGGTTATCAACAAGGTTAGTGAAGATCCAACCATAGGGGTTGCTGCTCTCAAGAAGACTTTGGAGGAGAAGTATTTAATCACCCTGTCATATTATGTAGTATGGGATGGTAGGCAGATGGCTTTAGATGAGATACTTGGTGGCTGGGAGCAAAGCTGAGGTAGTGTATAGTTTTAAAGCTGAGATTGAGAAGAGATCTCCTGGTAGTATAGTGGAGATAGAGTATGATGTGATCAATGAGAAGCATAGGTTCAGTAGGATGTTTGTTGCTTTGAAGCCTTGTATAGATGGATTTTTGAATGGGTGCAGGCCATATTTAGGCATTGATTCAATTGTGTTAACAGGCAAGTGGAGAGGACAGATGGCTTCAGCTATTGGTATAGATGGCCACAATTGGATGTTCCCAGTGGCCTATGCTGTCTTTGGATATGAAACAAAGGAAAACTGGGAATGGTTCATGGTTTGTTTGAATAAGGCAATTTGATCTCCAGAAGGCCTAGTACTGTCTACTGATGCAGGCAAGGGCATAGATGCTGCAGTGACAAGGGTGTTCAACAATGGAGTAGAGCATAGAGAGTGCATAAGGCATTTGTACAAGAATTTTCAGAAAAGATTCCATGGAGAAGTATTTGAAAGAAATCTGTGGCTTGCCTCAAGAGCATATAGGAAAGATGTTTTTGACAGGCATTTTAATATCACGAAAAAGGCTTCCCCAAGAGCAATGCAATGGATTGAAGAGAATCATCAGCATTTGTGGGCAAGGTCTAGCTTCTCCACTTCATCTAAGTGTGACTATGTGACAAACAACATTGCAGAGACATTTAACAGCTAGATTAGGCTAGAGAAGTCACGACCTGTAGTTGAGCTGCTTGACAAGATTAGGCAGATGATCATGGAGAGGATGTGTACAAGGCACATATTATCTCTTAAGCTGCAAGGCAATATCCTAGGAAATGTAATGAAGCAACTCCATGACAAAAGTAGGAATCTCAACTACAATCACCACAAGAGTCTGCCATTTGTAGGTGAAGTCAGTGGTGCAAACAGGGATTTGACAACATAGAGACACACAGTGGACTTGACCAAACAAGAATGTAGCTGCAATGAATGGCAGCTAACAGGCCTCCCATGTAGGCATGCCATCTCTTTTATTGGATCCCTGAGAGAAGTGGAGCTAGAAGGCTATGTCAGCCCCTACTATTCAGTGGCATGTTCAGGGCTGCCTATTCCACAACTGTGCCTCCAATGCCAGACAAGAGCCTATGGGAGAAAGTAGACACTGGATTCAAGATGTGGCCACCAATACTGAAGAGATCAGCTGGAAGACCTAGAACAAGGAGGTTCATTGGTGTTGAAGAAGGTGGTTCAGGAAAGAAAAGAAGGAGGTGCAAGAGGTGCCATGGCTTTGGCCACCTACAAAAGACATGCAATGAACCTGTATATGATCCAGATGCCCCTCCCCCAGCTCCACCCAAGCCTAAGAGAGTTAGAAAGAAGAAATCCAAGCCTGAACAAGTGCCTACTGGTGGTAACAACACTATGTAAGTGTGTCATGTTTTGATCAAGTTTTCAGTTGCCATTTTTTTTAAAATATTTGTTCAATATCTCTTTCACAGGCCTCCTACTGCTGCTGCTGATAGTGCTGATCAAGCCACATCTACTGTTGCCCCTGCTGCTGATCAAACCCCATCTAGTGTTGACCCTGCTGCTGATCAAGCCCATGCTGTTGCTGCTGGTGATCGCTCAAGTTGCTATGCAGGTGGATGACAACCCTGGACCAGTTACAAGGAGCAGGAGTGTTGCATCCCTAGTACATGCAAGTCCATTTAAAACCAACAAAAGGAAGGCTGTGGATACCAGGACAGCAAAGAAGCTGTAATCCAATGCTATTAGAGTAGGTTATTTTGTTGAAATTTCCAGCTGAAGTAGTACCAAGACTTGTCTTTTGTGTACATGTGAAATTGCCAGCTGAAAGACATCCCTTATTTTGCAAGCCTTGACTTTGGCTACCTATGTATATGTTGCAAGACATGACTTCAGCTATCTATGAAAGTCCTATTGCTGAAATGGAGGAATTGTTATTATTCAGATAATTGCTACTTCATATGCCATATGATTCTGAAATGTCAACAACAAATATTTCATGCATTACATCTCAATTTTGGGCAAACACAAATATTTCCTGTAATACTGCATTACATGGTTCTACTTCATTACATTAAGTGCACAAATTTTGATTCATCACAATTCATCTCATTACTGCATTACATGGTCCTACTTCATTACATTCATGGCAACAAACATAACAAAAGCAGTCACAACTCACAAATGCAATCCCAAACATACAAATTCTACTCATTGCCTCCTTCATCTCACATCTTATCTTCTCAATTCCATCATGTAGTCCTTTCAATGAAGCCTTCACTAATTTTGGGACATCATCTTCTGTCCTGTGAGCACTACAATCTGTCCATCCATGAAGGAAGCCTTCCTTCACAAACCAAACAGCATAATCCCCTTGCCACATGAAAACTTACATTGTGCACTTGTCTGAAAATAACAACAATGAGCACACAGCTTATCAAATGACAAACTCGATTTCAACTCAAACCCTAGAAAAATTGGGGATTGCAAAGAACAACTTACATACTGTCCGGTCAGGCATCGATAGAACTTGCGGTTGAAATTCTCTTCCTTCTTGCATGTCCGCTCCACTACCGTTGAATCGCCCTCGCAGAATGGACATTTCACAAGAGGCAACTCACTAACCTATGAATCACGACGAACCCGAGAGGAAGAAGCACGTGAGAAAGAAGAAGCGGAAGACATCGTCGCCGCCAACGAGCTCCCTCCCTACCGCGTCTACCAAAGGGACCACGCCGACTTCAAGCGGTCGTCGCCTTTGACGAAGACGATCCTCGCCGCCGCCGTCCAGCTACAATGCTAGATTCACCGGTACTGCTTGCGAATGGAGCCAAACCGAGTGGATAAGAGGAGATAAGGCGCAGGGGTATTTACGTCCGACCGCGTCAAAAAATAGCCTCCCGTCAGCCACGTCAGCACGGCAAGTCTACGCTAGATGGCGCGGTGTCCATCAGCAAATAACCACGATTATGGGATGTCTTTCCCCAAAGCTTCACTTTCGCGGTGTCCCTGAGCTAAATACACACAATCGCGATGTCCTGTAGCAAAATTTGCCTTTTAATTATGTATGCTAATTATAATTATTCCCTCTGCTCAATCATACAAAAAGAAACACATGCCCTGTGGAATATAATCTTCTGTTGTAATCATGCTGAATTTATATTTGTGATCATATCTTTGAAGAAGTCCAAGTGTTGTTATATAGATTTCACATAGATGTCTTTGTCGATTGTTTTCACGTGGATAATGTGCTTTGCTCAGTTTCCCTTTTTGTTTTAGATTTGACCATTGGATTGCATTTTAAATAAGTAGACCGATTGTTCCCTGTACGCGAGAATGGTTGCAGCTTGGAATGCATCTTCCATTTTTCACTTTGTTTTTAAAACTGAAGTGATGAATGACTTTTAAGAGTGACGCAAATGCAATGGCGATCGCGTGGTTTTGGTTAGTGGTTTTCAGTTTGTGACGGCGGCGAGCAGGAAAACTTGCCGGTGAGCTTTTCTGGGCTCTTATAGGATCAGAGATTAATCCCCTCAAAGACAAAATTACCAACTAAATGAAATTTACACATTATTACCTCTTATAAGACACTTTTTTCTTAATGAAGCTTTTATATGTTTTATCAAGTTTATAGGAAAGCATAGAAATATTTTCAAGAAACTACTGCCTAAAGCGTAGCGCGCGGTTTAAAACCAGCACGTCTCATGTACTCTGTTTCATCGGCGCACATATTGAGAGGGTTTGTAATTATTTTACCTCCTACTGGTATATCTCATATTTTTATGGACCAACCCCCCCTCCCCCGATTGAGATCACCTGCAGTGGCCATAGCCACTGCAACTTAAGCAGTCGCATAGGCATCGTTGGATTGAAAAGTAGCATACAAGATTTTCCTAGGCACTATTTGGCAAATACTGTAGCTGGATGTCTCTTGTAGCGAGTACTGTAGCATTTACTATTTAGAGCTGACGTGGCACAGATTACAACCGTTAATCGTTTCGATCCAATGGTAAAAAATAATTCCAACTGCTTAAGTTGCAGTCTTTATTATAACTGCACTGGATCCTTATTCCCCAACCCCACCCCTGGGCAGTTCCTGATTTTACGTATCAAAGCAAATCCAGTGAGGACGCCGCTGCCTACTCGATGGAGGGGGCCAACCTCCGTATAGCGGCGGGCTGCTTCCTCAAGCAGCCTCTGCCTGTCAATGTTGCTGGCTTGCTGCCTTCCGCAGGTCCTGTCAATCGGTCCAGCGACCTCAGGACCGATCTGTAGATTTATGTGTTTTTTCGGTGTAATTACTTTACTTACAAGCTGTAGTTTAATGTGTTGGTTCTATAACATCACTTCACCATTTTCTGCCCTGCAAAAGATAATATTTTTACTTTCTTCTTTTTAACCAGTGGTGGCTATTTACCAGACATAAAGTGAGCGGGCTAGTGGAGTAAATAGATTACTACCATTACTACTACCATTTTCTGTCCCTGCAAAAGATAAAAATTTTACTTTATTATTTTGAACGGATGGTGACAATTTACCACTTACCAGGCGTAAAGTGCACTAACGGGGTGGAGTAAATAGATTATTAATCCTAATTTTGTACAGTACCAGGACAACCGTTGCGAGTAATTTTGTTACACGTTAACGGGACAGTACGATTGTAGGAAACAGAACAAACAAAAAAGAGGGGACAGTACAAAACAGAAAAAAAGAAAGGAGGTGGAACGGGTGGGGGAGAAAACAGAAAAATAGAAAGGGGAAACGCTTGGAGGCGCACTAGTATTAAATTAACGCGTTGCGCATGTGTTAGCCACTACAGAAAAATCTTTTTTTTTCAGACGATGGCCTTTTTTTTCTTTTCCAAGCGGGTATACCCCTCGGAGCTAAATGGCCGCCTACGAAAATAGATCACAAGCGGCACGCCTACTATTATTGTAGGCGAAGATCTATTTTTGTAGGTGACCCTTACTTTTCTGCCAGCGAAAATAGGGCTATATGGCCTTCTTCCGCCCTGTGCCCTATTCACATCCGAGGTTTTTCTCTCTCCGAACACAACAAAAATATAGAGGGGTAGAGGGGGAGGTTTTGAACTCTAGAGTGGTTATATCTATGTCTTTCCACTTTTGTTACGTATTTTTTTATATAATTTTAAACTTCCCTTTGTGATGTATCTATGCATGCAA